TGAATTGGAAAAAAAGGTGACTCGACTTCAGACACAAAAAACACTCTCATTTCTTAATGAACGCTGGCATTCCGATACAGAAAGAGATGGCGTTTACATGCAGAAAAAAAGAACTAAATTATTGCCAATTATATTTACATAGCTCTGCCATATAATCATCGTTAGACAGCTGACAGTCAAAATTAAATACTATCCTTTGTGGCTTCGTATAAACAATTTCATAATCACTATTTTATTCAACATTAAATTAAATTAAATCAGTTTATTTATGATACACCGTATAAAATCGGTCCATCAGATTATCAATAAAACTGCATTCATACCATTTGGAAATATAAATTAAACCAAACAAGTTAAAAATGATCGGAGCCTATAATATGACCTTATCTTTTTTTCTGATAGAAAGAAACTAAAAATGGTAAGTTTTATTCATCTTCATCTTTCGAAATAGATCCATTTTGAGCTGTTTACATAATCTATGTCCTGATTTCTGTTTTCTTAGTTGGAGTCATTTAATGATGATATAAAAAAACACATATGATGTAAAAATATTTTTAAATCTTTCTTATTCTAAAAATAACTTGTTGAAATGAAGACTTTTTCTAGGACCAGTACAATATCTTAGGAGGAACGCTCTGAGAAGCCGGAGGAGCACTGAAGAATAGTCTCAGTTTGGGGCCGTTTTGAAACAAAAACCTGAAACTCAATTCATTTGATAAAAAATGCAACATTTTTATACAATTTCAACTTAATTAAAGAAATCTTACGATTGAAATTCAATTCTTTTAATAAAAGGCATCCAGAAAAAAAGGTGACGCCATGCAAAATAGCCTTCAGGACGGCTATTCGCATGCTTCTTTCTCTTTTTCGCGTGTTCGAGCACTTTGCAATCTAATTACTTAATGCCGTAAAAATGCTTTGTGTGTAAAATGTATTAAAAAACTAATTTAATCCGTTCGATGCAATAATGATCCGGTGCTAATGAAAGACGAAAGCCGGCATATTTCATTCTAATTAAAATGTTGGACTTTAATTAACATCACAGAGATTATAAGAATAAAACTACCAGGCTCACACTCATTCATCACCATCTCTCTCTCTCTCTCTCTCTCTCTCTCTCTCTCTCTCTCTCTCTCTCTTCCATCTGCATCACAATGTTGTTTTATAGAAATATAATTAATATCATTAATTGTTTGTTTATGCCATTGCAAATTGAATAGGAAAAATTGTTAGACCAAGACACATATATCATTTTGGCTGTGTGCTAGCGTTTGTGCTGCAATATTTATTGTTTTCAATCGCACAAATTGTAATTTAATTGCCCCGTCAAATATGGTTATGAGCTCAGAATATACAGCCAATCTAGTGAGTGTTGCAGTAACGCTCCACATTGCTCACTGTGATGTAATCTCATTTCTCACACCATTTGCAGTCGGCTTCCTCAGAATAATAATCAATTCATAATTTTAAAAAATGATCAATTATAGATTTTTAATACAGAATGGATCAGATGTGATTTTTTTTCATCACTCGGTCATATTGTGTGATCAAATGACGGCGATTGTGTAAATTGTGTGCGAAAATTCGCAGATCAACCATGCCGATTAAATTATCAAACTTTTAAGTAAGTAATTAAGGTCTAATTATATCGATGATTTTAAATTAAATCAAAATAGAGAGGGCTCAAGATCGTATTCAAAGAGATCATCAAGCAATCTATAAATTGTATGCGTTAATATTGCATGCATTCCGAAAATTTGAATAAATTGAATAAACAATTGAGCACTTTTTTCTTATAATTTCTTCAACACTTTATAACTTCATTACTCTTTGAATTAACACACACACGAAATGCTATTGTTTTATTCTCTATTGAGTTTGATTCGGTTTTTAATTCGCATATCAAGTTCCTTTTTATTGATTATAATATTTCACAGAATAGAAAATTGAAGCGTTTTACGGCCATTGTACATGCGATATTTAGCCGATTAGCCAAGACTGCTCAGCATGAAATGCTTTCATTCACGCCAATTTCAAATAGCATAGAAAGAATGAACATAACAGAAAACGTGAATAAAAGCTTTTAGCATCGTGATTTGTGAGAAAATAAACGCATTCGCCGATATAATTCTGATGATAATGAAAATAACATGAACGAACATGCATTTAATGCATTTTCTATATACCATAATATTCGTATTCGGTTCATGCGGTGCAAAAATTACTGTTTTTCAGTTTTTTATGTGCAAAAATATTTGGTTAATCATAGACATCAGAGTTGCGGCTGTGTTTTTAGATATTTGAAAAACAAAATCCAAATTACATCGTTAGTTAATGGTCAATTATAAAGGGCAATATTATCTTTTGGCGATCACGGGCATGTAGTAGCAGAATTCATAAAGAATAGTAGTGGCCAAATCTATTTAATTGCATCTGAATCACCTTCAATGAAATTTTCATGAAATAATGTTTTTTAAAAAAACATTACAATATATTTAAATACCATGTTATCACGCCCGTTCATGTAAAATCTTATGTATAGTGCGAGAAGCAGAAGAATCCAATCCATATTTTTTTCTATTTCTATTATAATTATATTAGTTCGAATTTTACTCTACAGTGTAATTTTCGATTTGTAATCAGTTTAGCATGTTTTCATCCATAAATCTGAGAAAACTAATTCACATATATACTATAAATGAGTCATAAATAACAAAAAATAGCATTATGATCAAAAAGAATCAAAACATCATTAGAAAATGTTTTGCATACGTTCAAACTGGGCAATTTTCTTGATTAGTAAAACCGACGAACTCCAACTGAGATGAGAGAAATGAATTAATTATCTCGTAATTATTCAATATTTTTCCCCCGTTATCTTTCAATGCTAAATGAACATCATTTCATTCATTCATTCATCCAATCAATGCTAATCGTCTTTCTTTTAAATTGGGAAAAAGTCGCATATTTTATGTAAAAATTACTAGATTACTATTAAGGTGACAGAATTTCATCATTGATAACGTTGTTGAGGTCGAATAAAAACCGATTTTCACATCGTTGTCACTTCATTGCTGACAGGAACTTTGAAACCAATCTTCTCGTTTCTCTTCCTCTTTCAGTTTTTTTTGTTCCATGCAACAAATGATAATTTTATATTACGGCACAACACGCGGCTGGCGTCGATTTCAATTGCAGCATGTGCAGCATGTGTGTATGCAATCGGTATTTGAAGCGCCTACTTCAGTGTTTGATTTATAATTCATCACAGCGGGTAATCAATTCGTTTTGCTTTGCGCATACAAGTAAAATCCAATTTGTTTTTCATTCGTATCGTAACAAATATTTCCTCAAATGGCACATGATTCTTACCTGATCGTTCGACAAATCATGAGAATCGACCAGAAACAAGAGAAAATCGTGTGGAACCACACAATTTTTTTTTGAATTATGACCACCAATTACTATCAATTTTTGTGAATGAATATGGATACATTTTTCTTTCATTGGGTCATTGGTATTCAAATGAGTGTGGTCAGATATGAGAATAATAAAACAAGTTTGATAATAAACTAATAAAATCAATAGACGTCGTTTGAAAATATTTATGAATCAGACGTTTAGACACAAAGCGATAAGAAATACACTCTCATGATTGCTATCGCTTTTTTCCAATTCCGAATAGTTTATTTCGATAAAAAATCACTTTACCTATACATATAAGATAAGAAACTAGTAAAATACCTTGAAAATCACATATTTGCCTGATGAAATCATTGCCAGTTGAAAGTGCAAGTAAAGATATAATTGTTTACTCCTTCAAACGCCAAGCATGCATTTGATAATTTGATATACAAGATTCTGGTATAGATACTGAGGAAACCAAGCATTGTATTAAAGCATTCTTTCAAATTCCATCATTGAAAATTCTTCTTTTTGTGCAAAAAAAAGTTATTATTTTGAAAGAAAATGTATCACTGCAACGATATGCGTACAATTTATTCGTTTAGTAGCAGTTATAAACGTTTCGTGCGTCTTATGGAATTTCAACGAAATAGAAATCGGTAACTTATACAAATAACTTATACAAATTCAGAGTGATGTATCTGTCTTCAGGAGCATTATGCATTTTATTCATTTGCATTTTTTTTACCTTTATTTTCATTTCATTTCACCATCGTCGGCCAATTTTTCATTTTATTCGTTTCAACTGTTGCTTTTGTTAGCATTTTGTTTTGTGTGTTGCCGTTTGCATTTTTATTGCGATGCTTCGCTTGGTGCGAAGTGATTTTAATGATGTCTATACAGTGCAGTGCGTTCGAACCCAAGAATGATTCAAATGAATATTCTTGCTGAATGAGATCTTCTTCTTCAAAATCACCATCATCGTAGTCGTTGTCGTCGTCATCATCAAAAATCCGGGCGTTCAGCGTATCTGTCGACGCTTGTTCTCTTCGGGTCGTGGATATGTGTACATTTTGTGACATGCATTAAATTTAATGTTCGGTTTTGAAACGAGATGTAGCCGTGAACGTCAGGAAAAGTGGTCTTAAATTGAATTTTAATGTGATTTGTAACCTTATTCTCATTTCTCTCTTGCTCTCTCCCTATTTCGTTCGCCTACCTTTGATTGGATTTCAGACGTTGATTGCTGTAATTTGGTCTGATGTAAACCGAAGAAGCACAAACCAGAAAAACCCATGCATTTCTTAATGAAATTTCGCGCAAACAATCATAAATGTCAAAAAATATTCGCTTTATTGAATTTTTCTGCGAGCGTTGACTACCAACAACATGGGCCCAACATTGGAATTTGGAATTATGAAATCGGCGTCAATTTCATAGTTTTTCTGCCGAAACCGGGAAAAAGATGAAAAAAGAAATGAACACTCAAAGCAATATAAAAGCAGACACAAACATAGTCTGTGGGAATTCATAATGTGGATATCAAATCAAAAACGGAAAATAAATTATTAAACATATTATTTTTTTGGTCAAAATTTGTGTGTTTTATTAAAAAGCTTTTTGAATTCATTCACATTTTGTTTTGATTTTTGTTACTTTAAATTGTGAGTGTTCGATTGCCACTTACTAGCTAATTTGTATATAGCGTTTTTGTTTGTCTCAAAATCCTATCTAGATTGGTGCATGTCTATTCGTAATTGTAATCTAACCAAAGTCTCCTTTTTCGTGAATAAATTATTAAAGTATTCATTTCATTTTTATACATAATTAATATATACTTCATGTTTGTATACTCAAAAAAAAGTATTTTCTTTGCTAAAAAAAAAAACAAATCAAATGTTGTTTCTGTGCGCCACTTTATTTAGCAATAAATGAGCAATTCAAGCATAATTGTTTTTTTGCCAAAACGACAAAGAGAAAAGCAAATACACCTCTATTCATAAATTTATAATAAGTCTACGCTACAAGCTATAATAACTTTGTATTCATTTTGCAAGTATGTATCGGTATTAAATCTAAATTCGGTTTTCGCTTTTTTTTTGTGTGAGAAAAACTGAATGAAATATAATAATATTATAAAAGCATGTGATTTGCACTATTAAATGTTTCTCCTTTGTTTTGTTATTTAAACTAATCAAAATTGTTCTACGTAATTTTTACCATAAAATTCAACTGATAATATCGGGAGCATGCCCGTTTTGACGGAGCATCTCAAGACGAAGTTCATGCTCGCGTGCCTTCAATCGAAGGGCGGCTATCGATGAACTTCTTCGATCATCGGTCGGTGAGGCACCATCGCTGCCACCACTGCTGATTGAGCTATTTGCCGTGGTCGTTGTTAAATTTGTGGCTGTCGATGGATGGCCTTGAGGCGAGATCGGTGGCGATCCAGCGCTGTTCATAAAATCACCATGTGCCGCATGAAATGGCGGCGGTTTCGATGCTGCCATTGCGCTCGAATGTTGAGCAGCTGATATATTTGCAAGCAACGATTGGAACGATGCACTCGGCGAATACAATGCACCTACACCAGGTGGCAAGGAACTCAATATTGGCGACGGCGGCGTTCTACACCAACGGACACAAAAAAAAAACAAAACAAAAAAAGATATATCCAAATTAAATTCTAAATTCAATGTCAATGAAGCAAACGATCAATAAACAAAGAGGCAACAACGAATAACAACATACAATAAAAACACAGGACGAACAAGAAGTGTTAAAGGATAAAAAAGAAATGAGTCAATCGAAATCATCAAACGGATATACATTACTACGGTCAATTAACCGCCATGCGGAAGCGATAATTAAAAACAAAACAAAAAGAAACGAGAATTTAAAAAAATGAAGAAAGAAAATGAAAACAACACACTTCTTTTCTTGTGAATTGAAAAAAAGAAGTGAATTAGGAAAACATAAAATATTGGGTTGATCAATTACCTGTGAAATTGGTGTAGATATGCTGGTGGCAAAACCGATGCGCCCGGTAAGTGTGGATATCGAAATGCGGCTAAACTAGCATCGAATGGTTTTCGCAAATTAAAGCCCAAATGTGTGAATGGATTTGGTGGCAATGCGGATGCAACAACAGTTGCCGATGGTACCTGGGCCCCGCTTGGCAAATAGGGGTTGTAAGGATGCCCGGCAGGGCCAACTTTTTCCTGCTTGCGCCATTTTGCGCGACGATTTTGAAACCACACCTGTGACAAGAAATTGAATAAAAAAATCGAAAATTAATATTACTTTTGAAACCAAATTTGAAACGGAACAAAAAACTTAATCATCTGAATCGATGTATCTACAGAGCAGTGTTTTAGCGAGAGAAAAAAAAATAAACAAATTGAAAAGAAATAATAAAAAAAACACTTCAAGAACATAGTCAAACGTCTATAATTAAAGTGATTAGCATTTGCTGAGAAATCACCTCAGTTGTTGTTGTTGCTCAAATCATTTCCATCGCAATATATAGTGAGATATGTTAATTAGAGATTGAGTTCAAGTAATTAATCAACATATCTCGCATTTATTATTTCCATTACGATTGCCCGTTTTTTTTATAATCTACAATTGTAGAATCAATGCCTAATTTGAATTCCTCTCGGACAATGGGCACACAGAAAATCAATAGACACAGTGATGATACAGCAAAGAAATGCGCTGAACGTCCATGGGACGATACAAAACAATAATAAAAGATTAATTTAAATTCATTCTAATTGCTGCCCATTTTAAAAGCGTATAAACACATTGTAATGAACAACGGATGGGCAAAAGTGAAGTTAAAATGATCGACGAGTGGAGAACAATTCAAAATCATACATAGTCATAATGATCAATGCAGCCCTCCACTCACTTGACGTGATGACGAAATTATTAGCAAGTTACGCATAAAATTAATGCGGCTAAATGAATAAACTGCAGAGATTTTGTGCTAATTATTATTCATTTGTAAGCATTGATCATTTGCGATACAATGTAACAGACCATGAGTTCTCAGCACAAACGATTGCAACACATGCAAGTGATGGTCAGTTGATTGAGAAAGATAATCAAGTGAGTACAGTAACAAAAAAATCGGCAACATCGAACGTTGATCGACAGGCCACAGACTATATAATCGAAATTGTATTCATGAGCGACCAATCTAATCATAAAATCCATGCGCGTACAGTCAATGAACTATGTTCACAGTACGGAAAAAAGTTTTCATCATCATCCACAACACAGTTTAAAGAAAACCCCATTGCACTGATGTAAACGAATGAACACGAATTTTGTAAGGTGGCCAACGGGCAATAATGTTCGATAAATATCATCAAACAAACATTAGTACAGATATACACAAAAAACAATAACCCATTGAATCACACTTGTGTCGACGGTACACATCGGTTTGTGTAGCAACGTTTCTGCTAATTTCCATTGCAACTCTCAAAACAAATTATCATATTATGCACGTTTCCGATTCAATAAATGAAATAAATGCAAATGTTTTTCATTACGATTTACATGCGAAAAATCGCGCGCGCGCGCTCACGTTTTTTTCTGTTTTCGTTGAAACTCACTCACTGGCAGATATTGACAGAAGACACATTTTGACGAACAAGCCCATAGCAAGCTAGTAACGAAACGTTACGGCAAATAATAACAAGAATAATACAGAATAGAGTGGTTCGATTTTGACATTTTTTCAAGAATCAAAAATCGTACCCCTATAACCTCTGTAGGAAGGTCATAGAAACATGACTATAACAACGAATTCGAAAAAAAAAAATGATTTTTGGTGAATTTTGAGCACTTTAATAATTCAATAAAAAATGGTCCATCGGGGGTTTTTTGGCACGAGAAAGCCAGATCTGGCGTTAATTTTGCAATACAAATAATTTTCGACACTTTTTTCATGAAAAAATCACAAAAAATGTGAGATACACTTAATTTGTATTGATATTTATTCAAATTTTCAGTATATTATTTTTTGCAGAAAAAACATTCTGTGCAAAGTTTCATGTCATTACAACATCAAACTTCAATACAAAATTCCACATTTTTTGTGATTTTTTCATGAAAAAAGTGTCGAAAATTATTTGTATTGCAAAATTAACGCCAGATTCAGCTTTCTCGTGCCAAAAAACCCGCGGTGGACCATTTTTTATTGAATTTTTAAAGTGCTCAAAATTCATCAAAATTTGATTTTTTTTTAAAACCACCTGGAGCCGCGCATCACCAAAAATCATTTTTTGTCGAATTCGTTGTTATAGTCATGTTTCTATGACCTTCCTACGGAGGTTATAGGGGTACGATTTTTGATTCTTGAAAAAATGTCAAAATCGAACCACTCTAATACAGAATCGAACGAAAATTAACAGTTCCAAGGGATCTAAGTGTGTGCCATGCATGTATGTATGTTGTGCGAATGCTAAAAGATACGGCAACAAGAGAGTTTAAGTCAGAGCGCAACGCACGGCCACTCAATAAGTTCGTACGTTTGTTATACGGTGTGTGTGAGTGTACATCGGTGTGTTTAAAATTAATTCAATTATATAAATTGTTTCCTTGGAAATGATTATTTGTTAAATTGATGGATATATGTACGTACGATGTTAATATACGTGTGTATGGTACGCGAATGGATGGTGTGCGCATTTCGCGCCGACTTTCTGCGACATGAAACATTATCGGCATTGTATATGCAGAACAAACCCTCGAAATTAATACCATACCGGAAAAAATATGTTATAATATATGTTGAGTTCAGAGGCAGAACGATTTTTATTTTTTCAAAACGAACCAAACAAATCAACAAAAGCAAAATAATAAAAAAGGAAACACAGTCAAGTCCCATGAAAAATGGTAAAAAAGACAGAATAAACAAATTAAAACGGCAGATCGCTACGAATTCTTATGAATGCAATATGTTTTTTTGTTTTGTGAATAAAATTTTTCGACTTTTTCTCGTCATATTTATCTGCGGCAAGTTTGCGAGAGAGAGAGAGAGCGAGCACGAAATATCGATTGCAAATGAGAGAGCGCACAGTTCATTTAGCATTTTGCCTGAATAACCGTTGCACAAACGAGTAATAAGAAGAAGAAGAAGCAAACAGGCAAGAAACAAAATCGAATTGATGCAATAATATGTTAACTAATCCATTGATTGTCCATTTGAATTAGCACATCACTCTCGAAAAATGTTCACATTCACATCCGAGATGCCAACAAGAGAGAAATATGCATACAGCGTATGGTTGGTATATTTGCGCGAGATTCCAGCTCGCCAATGATATGTGTATATACGATTTTCTCTAAGAAAGATGTGATTGTACATTGCAATTACGTGCAAATGATGTAATTAGGCAATTATCGATGAGGCCAAGTAAAAACAAAAACGTCAATTACCAGATCTTTGTGATCGATCTCGTTTCGCATGCACACACAATGCATTGAAACCGTCTGTTGCAGACCAAGTTGCAAAAACAACAACAAATAATAATAACAAATCAATCTTAACCGAACCAAAATCAATCGATAAACTTTTTTTTTGTATTCACAGTTGTTTGTATCGAGTTTTAGACTTGGCGAAAAAGATGTGATTCGTGCATTGAACATCATTTGACCATTTTTGTTTGCTAAATTCTCATAGTAATTTGTGTTGTTCATTCGTTTGGCCAAACCAATCGATCGAGTTCATATCATCAATTAGTCAATTCCACAATATTTTTTTTGTGTATTGCAACAATGAAATCGGAATGAATTTGTATCATTCGAAAAGTACAAGAGAGAATGAAATGATACAAAAATTGCACACTTGCAATTAAAGACACAACCGAAGATGAAATTATTGGCTTGAATGCCCGCCGGATTTCTTCCACTGCATTTCGATTAGCGATAATAACTGACTTCCACAATTCGATGATGTGATTGTGTTCGGTATGGTTTTGGCATTCATCATCGAAAATGAATTCGTTAGTTGGCTTTGGTGCTCTCTCGCCTGTTAGTGATTTGTTCATTTCTTTTATTTTTTTTGTTGGTTTGCTTCGTACCATGTTTTTGCCGCAGTTGCGATTGCAATCGCAAAAACACGCACTTATTACTCATTTACTTATTCATTATTTTGGCATATTTGATTTGAAGGCATACGAAAGAGAATAAAACCAATTTAGTTTTGATGAAACGAACGTGAAAAAACAACAACAACAATAAATATGAAGAAAGAGGTAGAGAGCTGATAAATACACAAGGCATGGCCACATTAATAAGTTCTTTAAGCCGAAAGTGCATTTTTTTAATTCAACTCGATCTACACTATAATTTAATTTAATTGAATTACTCGCTTGCCGCGTTTTTCAACATCCGCGCGCTCGCGCGTCTGCATTTGCACAACCACATGTAACTAAATTAAAAAAGAAGAATTCTATTGATGAATTTTGCTACGTGAACTGAAATGATCAAGCAGCAGTTTTCATTTTATCAAAATCCCCTCGTATGATATCTGCGAGGAAAGAGGAACTCTAATACAGAGAGATGGATCAAGAGACGCAGAGAGAGAGAGAGAGACTAGAAGCACCACCACCAATCATAATAATAATCATCATCATTGAAATGAAATTAAGAACAGATCTCACTCTATACAGCTAAATGAGTTTTTAGCTTCTTTTCCTTCATCTCTCATGCACACACCACCATGATTTTTTTGTTGTTATCTTGCTGACGATCCCAAAAAAAACTGATCTGCTAACCGAAACACCGAAATATTCATTAATCTTTCAAAAATCTTTACCATTTTAACCTGTCACGCATATTATCTTGGCTGCGGTCAGTCAGAGAGTGGGGGCCGAACACATAACTGTCTCATCAACGCAACGAAAATATATACAATTCATTTCGGTTATTTTGCTTTTGACTTGCGTACGTATGCAATTAAAATATAAATTAAAGTTATTATTTAACAAAGTGCTAAATACAGACCAGTCAATTCTAATTAAAATCGGTAAAATATGCTTCAATCGGAATGAAAGAAAAGGAGGTAGGTAAAAAACCGGCACGGAGGTTGAGAGATAGAGCCGGTGTTGAACCATTTCGATACGCACTGCAAAAAAGGGAAGTCCACCTTTTGAAGCTATTATCGAAAACATAAACCTTTTAATAAAACAGCGTGCCAGAGTACATACACATACATATATTCATATCGATATTAATCGCTCTGCAAATCTGCTTAATTTGTAATTGGATGTGTCGATACTTTCGAACATAATTCAAACCAAATATGGTTAGCCTTCAATATAATAACCGACAATTGATGTGAAATAATTTCAAATTTACCTCACACACTTCTTTCGACATACAACACTGGTAGAACATGAAGTATGAATTTGAATGAGGTTATGAATTAAAAAAAAAATCGTTTGTTATCAAGATTTTTTTTTTTTTGGAAAATAAAAAAATTTGAATTTTCACTAAAATTGTTCGGTGCATAAAATCTACACGTACCATTCTCTCGTCATTAATAAAAGTTCTAATTTATATCAAAGTAATATGAACCGCTTAGAATAAAAGTAGTGAATGAGAAAAAGTGAAAATAAAAGTCGAACATAAAGTTTTTTTTGTATGGATTTTGTCTATATAAAAAAAACTTTATGTTCGACTTTTATTTTCACTTTTTCTCATTCACTACTTTTATTATAAGCGATTCATATGAAGGTGTCTATATTCCTCTTTTGATGTGATGTGATGTTATTAGATAAAGATCGTGTATTTTGTATGTTATTTTGTTCGATGTAATTTAGTTTGATTGTGTCAACACTTGTACATTCATAGCGCTTCTTGTCTTCATTTCCAATTGAAATGTGTTCAATGATAATTCAATACAAATGCAGTATCATACATCTTCATCTCATTTGGTCAATTTGTCGATGATGTATTGTTATTCGATTGTCATTATTTTCCTTTAATAAACTCGCTCATGATATTTCAGTTCGTTTATCAAGATTTACTGTAATTGTCTCCTGTGTGTGTGTAGTTTTTTTAATATTAGGATTCATTGTAAGTGTATCAACATCGGTTCGGTTGTGCTGAGACGATGTTCTTGGCACCGACGAACTCAGTCAGCCACACACAAATAAAAAAACGTATAAAATGAAATGACCAAACTGCCACTTAAAGGTTTCCTTGTCCGTCTTTCAATGTTGATGTTGTTCCTTTTTTCTCCAGTTTTTTTTTCGTGCTGTTCTTGTGCTTTTTTTCTTTGTCTATCTACGCTCGTTCGTACTGGCCGATTCTGTTACAATTTCATTAAAATGAAACGTAGGCATCGAAATGTTGTTGTTCTGAAAGATTTGTTCGATGTAGCTTGTGTTGTGTTATTTTGTTGCATAAATTAATGTTGTTGAACGTTCGTTGGCATTTCATGTTCACTTTACTTCATTTAATCTTTAAAATTTTGTTATTAACATCAGTTTCGGGCCCATCGATGATTATCTTTAGTGAGTGAGAAAACTAAGTTTTAATGAATATTGTCTTATCTTCGTTGGAGTTTTCTCTCTCTCTCTCTCTCTCTCTCTCTCCTTCATCTTTATTGATCGTTTTGATTCAGTACCTTCAATAATTTCGACTGATTTGCAGGTTGAAGCGTTCGATTAAATGCACATCGAAACGCTTCTGACGAAAAAATCAAATTAACTCGGCTTTTCTCTCTTCACCGTTGATATTTTGCGCTGACATAAACGTTTACATTAAATGCATCGACGATAAACATCATCAAAGCCAACAATTTGAGTGATCTGATTCTCTCTCTCTCTCTCTCTCTCTCTTTTGAAGCTCTATTTAATAATTCGAAGTGCTTACATGGAACAACACAAGTTAATGAAAAAAAACGTATTATGAATTAAGTAACCCAATTGAAACGAGATCGAGACGGATCACTTGAATGGATGATGAAAAATTGAACGAAGTGCTGTTTGATTAATTAAAGATATGGGTCGATTTTGTGGAATATCACGGCTACATTCAGAGTTACACAGTAAGAACAATTATAAACTTTGCTTCCAAATAGATTTATATCTTTTTTAATCAAAAGCAATGTAATATCAATGAACGCAAATCCATCTGCGTTAAATCCCTGGGGAAAGGTTACAATTAGATCAAGAGTTGGGACATGGACAACATACATTCGTGGTAGGAATAATTTGGTATGTATAATTTTGTAAGTATATTGAAAATTGAAAATTTAATCAAAATAAAAGGAATAAAAATATTGCACACAAAGACAGGGGGAAGTCGTGAAAACTTATTCTATTTAGAAGAGAGAAAAAGAGCAAAATGCAGTAAAAATAATTAAGAACATTCTCAGTTAAGTGAAATGAAATAAAATGAGTCGTTATTATTACTGTATAAACAAATGAAATATGAAACAAATAAAATCGCCGGGGAGGCCTTCAAAATCAGAAAATCAGAAAATCATGTTACTTTGTTGTTGGCAATAAATCAATAGCTTGCATGGGAAATTCGTGTAATGGCATACATTGATTAGACGTGCATGGCTCCAGTGTGTTTCATTTTGGGAAAATTAACTTTGTTTACTACCATATATATTTCAAATGGTTATTAGAGTCAATTTTGAACGAAATAAAAAATTGAATATTCGGGCATGACTAATGTGTGTGTGCGGTGAACATTCCTTGTTTAAATATCAAGCTGTATGAGCCAGACTGATGGGATCATGTGATTCATTGGTTGAATATCTCTCCATATTTTCTCTATCTCATGATTTAATTTATGATTTAATGAAATGGTATCACATACGTTGAGTACACGCCTATTGTGCATCGTTAACAGACGAACAATTCAATAAATGACGTTTTACTACTTTAAACGGCAATTTATACGGTCAATAGGTAACACACGATGCAGTTGCTTATTATAACTGCTGTTGGTTCAAATAAAGAAATTATTTGAGCCAAAAAAAAAACCAAATTATTTTTTTTGTCCAATTCCCGTTCTTTTTTTATTGATTTTTTTTTGTATGGGAAGATGTTTATAATTTCCAGATGTAGCGGAAAATTAAAGTCATTAACGAACACAACAAAATGGCTTGGAATATTGGGATAAGTTTTGTCGAAAGAACGTATTTGAGTGAGGATCGTTCACGTGGTCGAATGATCAACCACTTTTTCAGCCATTGATTCGGCGGTCGTTAATTGAATAAAGTATTTATGTATGCACAACATGTGCACTAGACCTTCAATACATCTATCATGTAGGTTTTTTTAAACCGTCCACCACCATGATCATCTCCTATTTATACACTGTTATGTGTCGAAAAGTAGTCTAGCTTTGTGCGATCAAAAATGTTTGTAAATTCACTATAAAATACATGTCTATAATGGCATACGCACATACAAAACTCATTAGATGATAAACAGCGGGTGGTGTTTAGTTACACCGTCACCTGATTACCCGTATTTAATGATTCTTGATTATAACTCTCTAAATTTGCCAATTCATATTCTGGAAGCATGTTTTTATTCTTTTTCTTTTTGTAATTTTCTAGTTGTTCTGAGCTACTACTGTTTATAAATAGGTTTGGAAGAGTTTTAAAACAAAAATAAAGCAGACAAAAATGTTCTCTCTCTCTCTCTCCGATTCTCTTATCAAATGATGACGATTGTTTTCCATTAATTTGGCCGTGTATTCAAAGCAAGTCTTATTCGTATACTAACGGAACGCAATTAAAGTCTATTTGAAATTTATCCAAGTAATCAATATCGCCAGGCAATTGCAATCTAATTTAGATTGCCATTCTAATTGCATTCGATTACATGGTGATTTAATTAATCCAACTATTTTTTTTTTGATCAGCCCATTATTGTGATTGCATCGATTTCGTCTCTCGCTCTCTGTTTGGTTTATGTTGTGTGGGGAGTCCTGGCTCCATCAATGTATAATATTTTTATGATCGTCATTAGCCGCAATCATTGAGCATGTACCCCCTCATGCAGTTTAGATTTGTTAGAATCGATATACACAATGCAATTGCCATAAACACTAACTTGAAATTGAAAATAGTTGATGTTGATTACAATTTGTGCATTTGTTTTGTTTTATACGAGCCATATACTCGTGTTTTACATTTCAAATCGTTTCATTTTCACCAATTTACGCACATACTCCTATTTCTTTTGTAACATTTCCAGTCTGATTGGAATGGGCCGATCTGAAAGCGACTGTGAACTTAGAAAAATGTCAATTTTTACCGGAAATTTCTAGAGATCCACAAAATTATTGTCCTTTTTTTGAATTTATACAAAAAATATTGAAAAAAATTGGGAATTCTTGCGTTATAAAACATTGAATCTAGATTTGATTCGAACAAATTGTTTTGAAATGTTTCTCAATCGAAATGAATATTATATGATGAGATTCTGTCTAATTTACAATTCCACTGAAAATAATAGAGTAATTTATTACAAACCTGTATCCTGCAAAGAGAGAAAAAAAATAGCAAATCATTAGCCAAAACTTCAATGAAACTGACAATAACTAAACGATAACGATGAAACAAATTTATTACCTCGCTTCTGTTAGTCCAATTTTCATTGCTAGTTCCTCTCTGTGAACGAAAAAACGAGACACATATAAGTAAAGGTAACGACAACAAATCAGCAACAAAAAGCAACAACAAACTAGCGAGCAATCAAATCAAGATTGAGCGCAATGAGTGGTGAGAGTGAGGAAGATGGGAAGCAAAAAAAAATGCAATTGTAGAACTAGATGAAAATCACGTTTAAATACGTAAAATTACGAAATCAATTTAGCTTTCAGGGGAAACAGTGCTAGAGTCTATATGGCAATAATAATATAATAATAATAACGCGGCGCTTTTCCTAGGAAAAAAACGTACACATTCAAAGTGTATTTAACGAAAAGACCACTAGGCATTTACATCGTCTGCATTTAAGTTTTGAAAAGGAAAATAAAACACAAGTGTCTTTGTGAAAACGGGAGCTTTATGTTCAACTAAATGGAGCGTGCATCATTAATGTATTATTTTCATATAACGCATTGAATGATACTGTTATTCAAGCTATATTTTCCTGCTCTGCATTGCAAGTGCTCAAACTGATTGGGCATTTATGTATTATTTCAACGTAGTATTATAATTATATAAATCGTTTTGTATGCATCAAATACTCGTCAATTGAATTGGAATATATCATTGCAAGAGATTGCCAGAAAACTCATATTGGTATTTAAGGTTTTCGTTACCAATGCTTGGTGTTATACAGCAAAGTATTTAGTCGCCACAGGCAAATGCCATTTCATTTAGTTGTGCATTTTTCTAATTAAACGCACGCATATACACACTCGATTTTCTTTGGTATGCTTTTTTTTCTGTATGCACATACAAAATATGCAATCGATGCAACGAAGAAAGAACCAAATGAAAGTTGTAGAGAAAGAGACGGCGGCAACACAGAAGAGTGAGAGGGAAGAAGAAGAAGGAAAAAAGAATAGCTATCTCAACGAAATTCATAGTGCAAAGACATAGAAATAGATTTATGTGTGTTAAACTACATAATAACAAAACAAAACATTGCGCAAAACATGAGCGTCGCAAATAATTTAACTGGATATGAAACGTTTTGTTCAATTTAACACATAAATTTAATTAGATTTTTTTTTCCAATCCGTCATTTTCTGTGTATCGCTTAATTGGTTTTTTCCCTCCAATGTGACTCGAATATATGTATATATATATATATATATTCAATTATATGACGTGTGTTTGTGGATGGTTTGTTGTTGCAAAGACAATAAATGCGTTATAAATGTTGAGCAAAATTGATTCAAAATGCTTGCAGCAATGAAAACGAAAATTGTTTGTCGTGTTGTTGCAGTTTTTTTATATTGATTTCAACTCTTCGGCTTTAATTGCGGTTGCGTTTGAGCTGTGACAAATTGGTTCATACGATGTTGATGTTATCATTTGAGAATAGCAGAGGTGTGATAATCATATATGTGAAACATTGATATGCACATTTGTGGCACGAACGATGATGTATCAGTGAACTACATTTCATTAACCCAAGCTAAAAAAAAATCTTCGCAAACTCATACACACATACGCACACTATAGAATCGACATTACGAAAAATTCAAATCCGCACGAATGTTAATACAAAAATAAAAAACTTGAACATCGCATACCTTGTAAAGACATCCGGATAATGTGTGCGTGAAAATGCCTTTTCCAATTCTTCCAATTGAAAACTGGTGAATGTGGTACGATATCTTCGTTGTTTACGTTTTGGTGCAAAATCGTCCATGTCACCATCACTGTTTTGATCGGATATTGGACTATTGGTGCCGCCACTGGTCGGAGGTCCTGGCCGCTCCATCACATTGCCAAGCATTTTCGATGCATCATGCGACATTGCATCGATTTTGGTCTCCTCTGATATGCCCATGACGGGCGTATCAAATTGTGGTATTCGGGCGATGGTGAGAATTTTGATGCTGATTAAATAACCTACAATGTAACAAAATGATATTTTTAACAATTATATACATATAAAATGTTGCATTACGAAAAACGAAAAATTATTTATATGTAAAATGTGAATTATGATTAGAAAAATGATTGACAAAATGGAAATGAGGGAAAAAAATTGAAATGATAGAGCCGATTTTGTTTGAAATATGAATAATTGATTGAATCACAGCGCAATTTTTGATTGAAATCCAAATGCATTTTTGACGTTTCATAAAATTTTTATGAAAGTTTTGATAAATTCATCGGTTTGCATGTCAATGAGAAAATAAAGGGCACTATAGTGAAATAGCTGAAAATTGAAACAATATTACAAAGTAATACATTTATTTATACATATAATTTTCATTTTTGAATTTCCACATCAAGTAATAAATGAAAAACAACCGAGAAATAATTTAATTGGATGTTGTGTGTGTGCATATATATTTCTTTTCTCCTTCTTGAATTCAACATAAACACTTCACATTGATTGTAATATGCTAACATATGGATTCGAATATTGAATTGATTCGAAGGCACATGTGAGAGTGAGTGAGCGTGTATATGTATGTGTGTGGCTGTGGTATTTATTCATCGTAAATTATTTTAATTCTTTTTTTCTCACTAGTAGCATATTCATTGAAAATGAGAATAACAAATGAAATATTACTATTCGCAATAAATGGTGAGTGTTTAAAGTAATTGGATTTTTTCTCTCGTTTCAATGTAATACAAAACAAAAAAAAAACGATGAAAAAACCTGCACAAACAGCATAAAATAGACAATAAATGTATACATTCTACGGTTTAGTTCTTGGATATAATTATTCAATATTTTAATAAGTAAACACAAAATTGATGTAATTAAACAAAATTGAGGAGAGGAGAGGCCGAAAAGTGAAGAGAAAAACAATACACGAAAATGACTACTTTGTATGCGTATTGAAAAGAAACGATTGAATTTTCTTTTTGTGTCGCTATTTTGAATTTATATATTGTATATATATTAATTCATAAAATTCATAAACAAATGCCGAAGTTTGAATGATTTATTAATTTATTAATAATTTCAATGGTTTAAAACGAAGGAACGACACGAATACGCATGCAATCTGTTGCAATGTTTCTGAGGTATCAATTGAAATTTGTGAATTTCAAATGCAAACGCGTTTGGTCTCCTTTTTTCCATTCCATTTTTATATTTGGTAGACCGTTCACCTATAGATTATCGGAACAACGTCCATATAATATATTACATACTCATATAAAAAATGTACATTCGATGACTTTGTTTGCAACATTTTGAACTCACTTTCTGGCCGCTCTTTTTATCTACTACAAAGAACTGAGAGGTTTTGCACTGGCTTTGAACGCGTGTCACATTGTAATAAAGCAAAATGAAGCAAAACACAACACAGAAAAATTACTAAGTGGAAAATTATCGCGTGTGAAATTGCAACTTTGCGTTATTTATATCGTACATTATAGTCGTTGTGTAGTTGATTTTTGCCGGTGGTTCTAGGAGCATGTGCTATCTCCCTCTAATACATACACTCACATTCGCTCACTCTTTTTTTACACACTGATACATCCGAGAATACGATTGTGCATGGCAAATTCACAGTAGTTGAGAAAATGACAGAGAAAAATGCGCCTCTTTAATAAGACTAAATGTAAAAATTGATGTACACAATAACAGCAATATATTTATACACAATTCAAAGACAGACATGCTGTGTGTATGGCGAACAACAAAGGTATGAATTAAAAGCAATACGTATAAATGAACGCCTTTTGAGTCGTCAATCGAAATAATAATAAAATATTATTTAATGATTATGTTTGATATTAACCAATTGCTCGGGGGGCCGAAGATTACATTATAACTTGTCAAAAGCGGATGTGAAAAATACAGCAATAATGCAATAACACTGACATTTTCGAGTTAAAAAAAACACAACCGAGTCTATTTGCTTGTACCGTAAATGTCTATGTTTGTTTAAATTGCAATTAGCTTTGATACAAATAAATACAGTAATACAAATGGCTGGCATTTTAGTCTGTCAACGAATACAATTCGAAAAAAAAAACATTGAATGTTTGAATTGTTTTGACCAGCTGTTTATACAAATCGAAAGTCACCCGTGTACGACAGACGGCAAGGATAATTGAATTGATTTCCTACAATGTATGAAAAATGAGGAAACATCTCAATTTTTCGGAACGGAACATTTTTCATCTCTTCGCTCAAATCTTCGGCAAACTTAGCACATTTCAAATGAACAATATGAAAACGAGCATAAAGTAATTCATTGTAACGTTCATCGGCGAGAGAAAACCTCAAATCGTGCTAATTAAACGCTTAAAGCATAAATGAATGCATACAGTTGGTGTGTTGGCCCGTTGTTTCATTCGTTTTAGTCGAAGCAATTGCATCGTTGTTGTTTCGACCGCGTAATTGATGCGCGCTAACGAGAATCTGTGGTTTTAAAAATTCGTAATATAGCATTTACCACCTCTCATTTCACATGCATTCCAAATGTTCATTTGATCTCATTAGCAGAAGAGAATCTTTGTTGTTTCATTGCAATGGGGCAATAACGCTTTCTCTTTTAAAGGCCAGAACAAACCATTCAGTTTTGTGTCTGCATAAAGTCAATTCCGATGAAATGCGAATGAAAAAAAGAAAAGAAATACACACTTGCACATATACAGAAAAAGAAAAACAATCAAAAGAGATCATAAACGGTTGGCTTCTGAAAACCGTCTTTTATTTTAAAAACTCTGAATTCGATCGTAAAAGATGGAAAACGGGAAAAAATTAGGTACGCATAAAATACTAAAATTATGAGTTTTTATTTTCTTTTTTTTTTCGCAAGGCGAAAGAGAAAAATCAACAAAGAACTTTTTTACCTTGTTAAATTAATGTTCCGAATGGCTTGAATACTGTGTGCATGCGGAATTCAATTTCTTTTTTGAAATGTAACAAAATCGAGATGCACAGATTGAGAATATATAATATTGGCATAAATATGCGGAAAAACATACATTGTTAGCGACTTGTTAAGCATATACACACACTCAAACCGACACTCGTTCTAAATGACCGAATCATTTTGTCTTTACAGCATTGATCGTCAGCGGATGAATAAAATTTTAATAATTTGATCATAATACGATAGTGCGCATAGCCGCAGGCGATATGGAACAAAACATCAATGTAACACAAAATATATATATATAAAAGACGAAGAAATGCGTCGTTCTGTTCTTGTCTTGATAATTGAATTAAGTATCATCGTTTAAGTGATAATTCTTGCTGATGGCAAATGGTACTACCGTATCGAAACACGGCCAATTGACTATAATGGTCAATTTTTACGGTTTTCAGTAATGAGCGAAAAAACAACAACAAGAAGAACCTATCCATCTGTTGCAATGATCGAAACGCAAAACAAGTGGGCGCGCGCGCGTTCGAACGATTGAGAGAGATATTCAACGATAAAAGAGAAGCTCGAGAGAGATAGACACTTCCCCCACTAAATACTAATGGCAACTATTTCATCTTCGGTATACCTTAACTGTATTATTCGTCAAAACATCAAACGACATTGCACACATTGATGCAAGTGAATAAAGTATATCCATGGACATCATTTAACGCAGAATTATTATTAAACTGGTTTGAAATATTGAGTATTTGAGTGTATGATGCGTGCTGTGTAGAACTTATACCTTATTCTGGTTTTCTGAATGGTATGTATTTTTAATTTTTTATGCTGGTTTTCACATGCAGAATATCTAGCTATTCTAACACAAAATCATTGTCTATTTTGGTATATGAATGCGGCACGCTCGCGCGTCCAACCATTGAAACAAAGAACCATTTATAAAAAAAATTGTATGCGCAGGCTGCTGTTACCGCTGCTGCTGGCAGGTAAACAAATACACATCATAAATTCGATTTGAAACGAGGCGAACACAATAATCATAAACGTTTTGACAGGCCCTGAGCTATACGATGGACATATATATGTATGTGTTGTATATGTATATATATTTTTTTATTGGTGAAATGCCTGTAAGCAAGCGAGTAAATTAAAATTTTATTTAATTTTAAGTGAAACGACTCTTAACATATTCTTTCTTTCTGCACGGTCGTTTGCATGCAATTTGTTTAGGATTCATTTGGTTTCGTTTCAAACGAAAAAAAAAACATGCACACATTCCATACACATTTTTCATGCAATTTGAAGTTTCACCTCATTTTGTTGCCTTTTTTTAGTTCTAAACCGTTAAACTATTTCGTGTTTACAGAAAAGTTCAAACTTATAACCATAATTAAACTACAATTGATTCACCTGAAAATAGTAAAGTTCTTCCATTAAATTAGTTATTTGAATATAAATAACAAGCTAATTAGATTTCGATCGATTTGTATTGCGCATGTGAAAATGTTTCGAAAAGTGCACTCATAATTGACGATCCAATTGATGTGTGTGTATGGCACCTCACGCGGATTTCTATCTGGCACCGTTCGTAATTGAATGACTTAGTTCGAATAAAGTTTCATTATTAAATTATTTTCAACGTGATTAGAGTGAAAGGCAAATGGAGAGCACAATATATATGCCAGCCAGTTTGTTGTCTTTTACAGAATCTTCCGTACATTTGGAGAAAAACATTTACTTGCGAATGCCACACACACCAAATCGATTGAAACTTTCTTCCGATATCATTGCATCGATTCACACATAATTGCTTCCTGTAATCAAGTTTTTACTTTTCCGCACACACCTAGTGTGTAAGGTAAAGTATTGGAATCGGTCGAAAAATTAACACCCTCGAAAAACATGTTTTCTGGGTGTTTTAGGACCCAGGGAACACGAATCTAGCGTTTTTTCGATGTCCGAATGTATGTGCGTGGTACCCTGTACGCAAAAATTTGTTAACACGATAACTTTCAAACCAGAAAAGTAACTCAAAATCTGACTTCA